TGTGTCAATCAGAAAATAGTCAAATATGGCATAGTTTTTACTTCTGGCTTCAATTTTTGTAGGTTTTCTTACGATGACCTATGAGTTATTATATATTGGCACTGCGATTCGTTACCTAAAAAAAATGTATTTTAGAGGCAACGGTAGGTCAGCGCAACCAAAAATTGATTCTTGAAGCCGGAGAGAAAAGCTACGCCATATTTTACTATTTTTCTGGTTGACATAACCATTCTTTTTTTTCCGTGCAGGGATTTTCAGAAGTTTTCATTTCCTGGATATATTTCTTTTACTTCTGGCGTTGCTGTGCATTTGATTGCGCAGAAAGAATAAATCTCATTGACGAATCGCCTGAATTCTAGCTCATGTACCGCAGCATTTTGAATTAGTTCGGATATATACGGGCTGAGACTTTGTCGTAAAAACAAACGTATCGTAAGACATGACCGTCGCGATTGCAACAGCGATTGCAAAAACTGCGAAGGACCTGGATTATATAGTAGACTTCACGTCGTAACTTGGCGAAATCTTTACACAGCTCGCAGCAGCAGCAGCAGCAACGCGGAGATTTCGGCAAGCAATTTCGAGGCAGGTGTCGGCTGCGCGTCAGAAAAATGAAAAATATTCGATAAATCTCTCGCTGTCACATACACACACACGTATACGATCTTTCTTTTTCTCTCTCTCTTTTTGTCTCTCTCTCTCTCTCTCCTGCTCTTCAGTTTCCAGTCGCGGAGGCTACATCGAACAGCGTGGCGGGTACACGCAATATATTTCTTGACGCTGTTGTGCCTCTTCATCTTCAATCCTTTTCATTGCCGCAACCTAACCTGCTTTCCCGCCCTTACACACCTTCCGCTGAACTTTCTCTTTCCGTTTACCGCATAGCTCCGACGGAACCTTTTTATGTCTCTGCGTATGTCGACCCGAGTAAATAGTGTTTCAATAATCGTATATCATTGAATTTTCTGGGCGAAATAGAAAATTTTGCTTTCCCTCCCAGTACCTCCGAACTGTTCCGCGTTCTTCGGTGACTTCGACCCGGAAATTGAACGACAAATGTGACCAGCCCGTGTTTTCTTTGCCGCAAGAATACATACAAACGATTCCGCGTGTATCCGTGACGGCGAAGAAACCACGGAGGATGGAGGTCAATGGAATCAATACGAGGTTTTCGGTTCGAACAATTCCGCAGAGTTGCCGGAAGACCATATAGAAGTCCTAGACAAAGACTTTCAGATTCCCTAAGTCTCATTTGCACGAATGAACTGAAAATCGTGCACACACTGAGAAAAATACGTTTTACTATTTGTAATAACCGCAATGAAAGAATTATAATCAGAAAAACCATTTCTGCCACAAGTATGGCAGATGTATACTATGATGTTAGCAATAACCTTATTAGCATGTTACTATTACACGAAAAGAATATTATATATTTTTTTTCACACATATAAATTCTTTTCAATTTTTCTATGTTTCTAATAATGTAGAAATAGACTGTCAGTAAAATCTATTTTACTAAGAAACATAATAAATTTTGCTAGAAACATGATAAATTTTTTAATAATATATTTATGATATAAACATACTGAAAGAAAATATGTGGAAAATAAAAAAAAATATTTTTTCTGTGGATACTAATAATATATTTAATTAAGTTTAAATCCCTTTATTTAAATATTGGGTTGTGTGTGTAATAAATCATTTTGGATTTTTTTAAGTATCGTGACTTATATTACACAATCCAGTAGAATAAATAATTGTTTTCGTGAATTTCGTAAATATGTTATTAGTATTACCTACTGAATAAATATTTTTTTATTTCTTAAATATTTTTTCTCATAATGCAGCACACATGGATTAAAAGGATAATAAATTACTAGCAAACTATTAATCTATTGTATATTCGATCACAAAGTTTTATAATAATTTTTACTTTATAGAATTCTCTCTCTCTCTCTCTCTCTCTCTTTCTCTCCTTCTCTCTCTCTCTCTCTCTCTCTCTTTCTTTCTAGGTCTACTTCCTCGTTAGAACAACGGGAAGAATGACGCCGAAAATGACTACAACTTTGGCGAAATTAAAAATTCTCTCTTTCAGTCTCGTAACAAGCGTGCTTATGTTTAAATATTTCCGGAAACCGCGAGGGAACCCCCCGATCCGTTCGCCAATCGCAACATCGAGAGAACTTCCGATATATCCTGTAAAGAATATCATCTACTGCGCGTCGATCATCTCGACTTTAATAATTATCCATCATGCAAACTCTAATTTCCGACCTATCCGGAATGTTCCGCGTGTCTTCTCGGCCAGACGTTGGTTCGGGCGAGGCTCAATAACCTGCGCAATCCCGGGGAAGTTCAGTTTCAGGCGATCCGCGTGAGCCGCCCGCTATATAGGGATCGTTCGCGCGCGCGCCCGAACGCGAGGGTCAATGACATCTATTCCCGGCTGTCATAATTCACAGTGCCTTCCAACTTCGCGGAAAGTTCCCTCAAACTTAGATTAGCGATTCAATTTGGGCCGCCAGTGAATCGCCTTCAAAATCGTTTTTTAATCGGGACACCGTGTAACGAACAAAACGTCCGGCTGCGCCTCTCCTCTCCTCACCTTACCTCACCTCACCTCACCTCGCTGAGAGCGGCTTTTCCTGCCTCCGGCTTTTCCCGTCCCGCTCCTTCGCAGATTTCCACGTCACTCATTCATCGACGCTGGCTTGGCAACCAGCGAAGACGACCGCTTCACTCGCTAATGTTCATTCGGTATTCTGTTTCCTTCATGCTCGTTTGGAATTCTGTTTCCTTCCTTTCCGTCCCCATTTTGTTTCCGTGAGAAAATTGATACGTATATCGGGCTCGTTATTCACGCGAGAACATTTGCGGAAAAAATTTGTGCTTTGAGTGCGGCGATTGTTGGAAATGCTAATTTACTGAATTTTGCAGGAATAATGCACTAACAATTTCTTGATGTCTGATAAAAGACCGTTATAAAGTATCTCTTTCCTTTAAAATAGAGACATGAAAGTTTATTATTTACTATAATTGGGTTAAGTTATGATCAGAGAATGTACCCAAGTCACCCCTTTTTCATAGAATTTTATAAAACTTGAAATATTCCAATGAATGATATATCGATTTGAAGCTTAGGACGAGTAGATGTTTTAAGAATATAAAATTTCAATATTATTCTCGTAGTCATTTAGGAAATAAACAGTCCAAAAGATTGCAATAAAACAACTGTTTGTACTGTTGAGATTGCAAACTTTTGGTCCGTTTATCTTCCAAACAATTATAAGAGTAACATCAAGACTTTATATTTTTAATCTATTTGATACAAGTTTCAATTATGTATATTATTATTAGCTAGAATATTCAAAGTTTTTGAAAAAGCAATGGAATGTCTTGTGGATTCTTGTCCATTTATTACTTAAACGAGTTTACGTAATCAAATTTAATGTGTGTGTATCATTTTTATGATATTACTTCAATATTTCGTTATATATGTAATGGCTATTTTTCAAAACCGTGACAAAGTATACAATGTAAGAATGCTATTGTTATCCTAAGAATTTCATACGCGTTTACAATGAAACGAGCCTTAATTTAATTTTTAATATTTAATATTTTTAAATGTTTAATATTTAATATAATTGCATCTTAATTTATATGATCAAAGAATAATAAAATTTAGTCAGATGTATACTTTTTATATTTCGTTATGCATGCGATGGTTGATTTTTTTTAACAAAGCACCGAGACAAGAGAGATACATAACTTAATTTATTGTTACCTCAACCTAAGATTTCCACTCGCGCAAACAATGAGACATATAAGTTCGAACTTTACGTTCTCGAATCTCCAAATTTGCAGACTCTATATTTGGATTCTACAAGCCGCGAAATCCGCAAATATCGTCACTTAATATCCCATATAAATCCAAGTCATCCGAACGGAAATTTTCCGAAAGACCATAACGCACAAGTAGCCGGAAGTGTGTCGGGACTGATTTAAGACCCTCTATACGCCGTAGAGAGGTAGCTTCGCAAGAATCACGTTACAAAGTTCTCTCGAGATAGTGTCGAAAGCATATCGTCTCTCGCTCGCGACTCGGAGCTACGGAGAACTTATGCCGGCCGTATAAAGAAGTTTCGATATCTGATCGATTGATTTTACTGCAACTTCCCATCGCTGTACGCGCTTTTCGGCGTGAAGAGGTATCCGAGATATTTCGCGCGTCCGACAAGGAACAACGTTGTAACTGCCATTACATTGAAAAATTTGCCATGTATTTTATACATATGCAGAGTGTCCGATTTCACAATATCTCGTGAGGACGTAGAGCGGATTGAGTTGAGCGAAAACCCGTCCAGTTTTAGCGAAAATTGCAATAATGACCGAAATATTAATTGTAGAAGATTTGTGAATAATCACGCATGAGATGAGCTGCAATGACATTAGCTCAAACTGGGCAAAAAGTCCTCTACTATTTTGCAAATTACATAGATTTTTAATTATTAATTAAAGAAAACTGTTGCACGATTTTACACGATGAGGCACCCAATCTTTTTTAATTAATAACTAAAAATCTACGTGGCCATCTGCAAAGTGGTAGACGATTTTTTGTTCAGTTTGTCAAGCACACACGAGGACAGACGTCGTTACTACAACTTATCTACCATATCGAACGTCATCATTTACATATCTTCTTTAATTAATATATCTTAATATATAATTAATATAATCTCGATAGTTATTGCGAGTATTGCACAACGGCATAGGACTTTTGTATTCACTTTATACCCTCACGAGAATTTGTGAATTCGAGCTAGGTAACACTTTGTATAGATTTTGTATTTATATGAGTTTTATTTTGTGCTGTTAGCACCAAATAAAAATTTACCACTTTTGAAACATTTGTTCTCTGTCAGTGTATGTGCATGTTTACATGCGTTGGTTACAACGTTGTTCGTGCGTTTCGATCGAGACTTCGCACAATCACTCACCCATAGCAGGTGCGTAGATATTCAGATAGAGGCAGTCCTCGCTCTGGTTACGCAGATGTGGCAACAGTCTCTTCAGATACTCGAGCCTTCCCTTAGGCATTCGCTCGAGCGCTTCCTGTTCGTTCGCGATGTCCGGCAGCTTTTGGGGACAGACTGGACCCACCGAATCCAATAATCTGTGGAAATCATTGGTGCGTTATGGCGTGCCGAAGTTCCGCCGTGAAATACAGGATGCCATATTACTCGACGAGTGTTGTCTGGCAAGACGAAATCAAACGTTTATCGTACGGTCTTGGTCCTGTAAACGGCGTTGTCCCGACAAAAGCGACATCGTTAAACACGAAATTTTGTCTGAGAATGTGCCTGGCGATGCAATAAACTGATTCGTCATCACCCACTGTTGCTTCTCGCGCAAAAATCCGCAATTTTTCGGCAAAAACGGAATCGCAGGCGAATTTAATAGCGACGCGCCGTTGTTTGAAGAAAATCTTGGCATAATTTCGGGACGTCGTGTATCCTGTGACACCTCCAGGACACTTCGAGTTACGAAGACTGCACGGTATCCGAAGTATCTCGAGCAGATATCGAAGTGTATCGGGGAGAGCGCGCTTGTTATACAAAAGTGGAGAGTGGCTGCTTCCAGAAGAAAGTCATAAATGCGATCGAGTACGCGCACGAAAATAAAAATCGATTAGCCTCGACGTAACTTCCCGCACGAGTAGCCGTAAACTCTCTTTTTCACGACGGGACAGAACTCCGGGTGGTAACTCCAACCACGAACAATATCCAAGCGGCGATTTGTCTATCGAGAAAATAGAAAGTAAATACGCGGCCGTCTAAAGTGCAAGGTACTTTTCAATCCACTTGACGCAATGTTCTGCGCGAGAAACCGAAGGGTTCAGTCACCCAATTCATCCTGTTAACCCCTTGAAGTATCGATCCCGTTCAAGTGAAATTTTTTTTCTTCATGAAATAGTTTCAAAAGACGCTCCTGGCGAAGAGTCTTGTGGTCTGAGTAAAATTGACTGTCGAGAAGTAAGATTTTTTTTGAATGTACGCGATTCTGTACACTGAGTTGCAAGACGCAACAAGAGTTGCTTTAGACACAATGAAGTTGGAAACTCATCACATTGTCAAAATTGAGAGTCATTACCGACGTACAATGCGCGTACGTTGGGCAATAAAAATATATTTAATAATATAATTAAGAATACTATATAGTATAATAAGTCATGGTAATAACAATTAATAATAATAATAATAATCAGTAATATAATCACTGAGCAAGTCCATCACTAATGATTCTCCATTTTGACAGTTTGGTCAGTTGCCTATTTTATTGTGTCTAAACCGTTTTGCAACCCCGCTAGGCCTTGTAAAGGGTTAAGAATTCGTGGTCCTGACCGAAAGAATTTGCCCCCGTGACGACACCCCCGTGAATAATCTTCAAGTATTCGTGCAAAACTCATCATTTATAGGGTGCGCTTTACCTAAGAACCATCCATGAAAGAGAAGTCTAATTCTCGATGTTAATTTTACATTTCGCGCAATTACATCAAAACGTTTCCACGTTTTAGAAAGCGCTAAAAATTTACGATCTCTATGTTGTTTATTTAACGACGATGGAATTACGAGCGTATTTCTCTCTCTCTCCCTCCGTTCCCCTCTCTCTCTCTCTCTCTCTCTCTCTCTCACTCAATTTCTCCCGATGTAACGACCCTTCGTTTCTTCGTATATGCACCGCGGGAAATTAAACTCCCCGCAATTATACCAGTCTCAACTTGGTTGGGGAGAAAGCACGAGAAAGGGTGAAATACGATGGGAGAAAAACGGAGAGAGAGAGAGAGAGAGAGAGAGGGGTAGAAAAAAAGAACATTTACCTGACTCCCTCCCAAGGACTCGGCGCTCTCGTTGGGGAGAAGCGGTTGCTGCCGACCGGTGGTGTGGCGTAGGGTATACCGAGGTACACGTCGATCGGCTTGAGGAACTTGGGGTACTCGAAGGTCCTCGTGACGCCCTGCACTTCGCCGTAGCGCGTCTGCACGATCCGTGAATTGAGCTTGCTCTTGATGGAGAGCGAGAGGGCGGGCGGCGCGATCAGGCAAACGAGTATCAAGAAGAGTTCCATCTTGCCACCCTCCCCTCGCCCGTGCTACCCGCAACTGATCACGCCCGACACGATCTATGGATCACCTCCGCGCGGCTCCGCAACGATCGTTCCTCATTTACGTCCGCGCGATTAACTGCGACCCCGCCGTGCCTCCGTCGTCCTGGTGGTGGGCACTTCTGGAAATATCACACGAAGCGCGCGGCTCCTCTGGATCATTGATTATCGATCACGCCCCACCGGATGCTCCGTGCCTTTCTATGCGAGCGTACGCTCGTTATCCCCGCTCGTCGATTTTACTCTCGATATCATCCCGTGACATTGCCGAACTCACGGCTGTTTTCGAGACTCATAATTAATCGGCGTCTCTATAAAAATATCCCCAATAATAATTTCGTCATTAAATACCTCCCAGCGTAACGGATTTCTGTTATGCGCGCGCGCGCGGAAAATGCCTGAATAATAATAATAATAATAATATAATAATCCAAATTAAATTTCAATTTTGCGCGTCAGCGCGAAATCGAAATTAATTAATTAAGACACGACAAACAAAACCGCGGACGGACGCGATCACGCGGGGAAGACAAAATTTGCGTTCTAACAACGCCACCGACAATGACCATTAATTAGCACTCTACTCGAGATTGTTGCGACGAGCGAGATTATAACAAATGGAGAGTCGCGTTTTATTCCGACCGGGCGCGTTTGCTCGGTCGCATCAATTAATTTTGCGTTTTTGTTAGTTTTAATTTCCCAACTGCGGCGGTTACGCGCCGGCGCCGGTTTGACGACGTATTTATTTAACATGCCGTTCAATTAACTATATCAATATTTAATTAATATACACGCTGCGGTTTCAGCGATTCCATCGGGAAAATGACAATGATATTCAATAAAAAGGGACGAAAAAAATGGATAATTGAATACATATCGCGACTGGGTAATCGATATTCGGGTCGCTCTCTTCCGAGAGCGGGCGAGACGTAACGGCGCCCTTTATCGTTCCTTCGATTATTAGCGAATTCTAATCTCGTGACAGAAAGTTTCATCCGCGACGCTGATAGGAGGTAGGAGTAAAATGGCCGAAGGGAAGTAGCGAGAGGGGATAGCGAAGACGATGGATAAGCGTGAGAAGTTAACGGAGTTCGATAAGCGCGAGGGAGAATGAAGGAAGAGAGAAGGGGGAGGGAAGGAACGCTCTCTTCATGAAAGTCATGAGCCTCTTACATTTTAGCGGAAACAAATACGTTGATGCGAGCTCATTAACATGCCGCTTCGAAAATTTGCATTGGAAGATCTCCGCCATAAGATATACTTGGCGCGCGTTGCGCATATAACATTATTCTTATCTAAAATAAAGCAGGAAATTATGCACGCGTCCCCTTTTGTTAATCTCTCTCATATAACAAGGTATCTCATATAACAAGGTATCATATAACAAGGTACGATTCATGATACACCCGTTGTGTGCAGGTAGAAATTGTCAAACTAAACACCTCCTCACAATTCCTCTACCATTTCGCATGAAATTTTGAGTTATTAATTAAAGGACATTAATTATAACAAAGGAGCGTGAGATTTTGAGTTATTAATTAAAGAAGAATAGTGAATGATAAAAGGATTTGGATAAAAAGATCCTCTGTCTTTTTGCGAACAGCTACATAGACGTTTGGTTATCAATTAAAGAACATCGGCGCATGATTATGCGCGATGATGCAGCAATTTTCTTTAATTAATAACGGAAAATCCACGTAATTATTTGCAAAACGGCAGAGTTTTTGTTCGGTTTAAACTAATGTACAAGAACACATTACGGCAGATGTCGTCGTCACAGCTAATCTGCCAATATATCACTAATTTTCTTTTTACCTAATTTCGTTTTTAATTAATAGCTCTAATTTCCTCTTTAATTAATAGCTTAAAATTTCGCGTGGTTGTTTGCGGAAATAATAAGGGAATTTTATGTTTAGTTCGATGAGCTCTATCTGCACGCACCACGGATACGTCATGAATTTTGCCAGACACTCTCTATACATTCCCAAAACGTAACATATACTTTAAGCGCAGGTATCTTGGAAACAATATTTTAAACCTGCAATTCTTCACACATATTTAAATTCAAATTTTTTAATTCAGCGGCGAGCAAAAGATTCCATACTCTATGCATACAAATGCAACTGTTATATATTTTTATGTTAAATTATTATTAAAAAGAAGAAATGAAGCGAGGAGGGATTAGTGGGTTTTCGCAAGAGACACACTATATTTGTGAGATGCGTTTGGGCCGAGAAATTTGTCCGTCGTGGCATTCGCCGGAGAATGCGGACGTTGGTTACTTTAAATAATTTCGTTGGTAACTTTAAATAATTTCGCATTCCATTGGCGAAGTTCTCGACGCTGCCATAAAATCGTCACGGTGTTGGCGAACACATAAAGGGGTGAGCAAATCCAAAAATTAATCACGTCCCGGCGCAATTATCGCGTCTCGCGTTTGCGGCATTGCGCGACAAGACGACGGAAGGGACCAAAGTTTCTATGAGCGAATAGGAAAAAGGACATACAGATGGTTGCAATGAGGGTGGCTGCACGAGAGAGGGCGGCGGGGTAACGCTAGCAAGAGGAGTTAAGAGAGGCGCGGGTAGGAGTAGGGGATAAGTGAGTGCACTCGTACGTGGAGCCATTATGGAAATCAGTACTTATCGGCCTCCGAGAGAAGGAAATTCAACGCCACGTAACGGCGTCACGTTTTCCTCGTGATCCACGTGGCGGAGAAAAAGGAGATAAGCTGTTTCGGTTCCGTCAGCCGCCCCGATAATTTCTCTTCCTTATCAATGATGCGACCTTCTTGCCGCGAATCCGTTCTATCGATCCGCGAATCGAAGGCAGGGCTATAATTCTCTCCGCAAGGGCAGATAATAAAAATGCTATCGGAAAAATGTGGATCTGAATTTAATCTCGCATTAATGCCAATTTGATTTGGGAGATTTTGTTGTTGGGATATTTCGCACGGTAGAGAGAGCGACCAGTGTATAATTTCAAGAAAATTGAAGGATGGTTGCGCTGTAAAGTCATATCAATCAACGAATTCGGATAATTTTAATTATTTAATATGAAGATAAATACGATGACGGAACACGTACGAAAATCTGAATTTTAATTTCTAAGAGTGCGTAATACGTTGAAAAAAAAGGGAAAAGTTGGCAGAATTAAGAACGCGGGCAGAAAAAAAAACGAGAACAGAGTTCACGTGTGTGTCTGAAGAAATAATGGCATGAGAAGGAATATAATTAATTATACGGAGTAGTTTTCACACATAAATATTAATTAAGTTAAGTGACGTTTACGTGATATTTTGTCTCCGGGTAGAAATGCAGGATTAATTAAGCTTTGGATTATATTAATTAGTGTTTATAAGACACAGAGACCACAATTATTTTATATTAAGTGATCGTTTCAATTATGGTTGCAATTTGTTGTATTTTGAAAAAGTGACAGCTTTCAACACGATTTAATGTTCTTCACCGATAATAAAGGTATTATGATATTCGAGAATAATAAATTTATTATTTATATTTGAGATAACTCAGTTATCGTCAAAGAAGCGACTGGTAAATGGACAGCAATCTCGCGCATGTATCGTTGAGCTTTCAGAACGGAAAAAAACAAAGGGAAACCGGGAAGTAATTCTTCTCTATACGCGAAACATGAATTGTTTATTTTAAATTGAGATTTCAAAACATTTTAATTTTAAACAGAGAAATTACGTTATCGGTATAAAGATTAAATTTCCTATTTTGATAGCAATCCGCCGACTATCTGTTACAAAAAAAAGAAAACAGAGAGTTAAAAACAAAACGAGACGGAAAAGGGGGAAAATTTTAACGTAAACTAAATTGGTAATTTATACGATTGCATAATATTTAATATCGCCTCTGGCGATTAATATTTACCATTCGTGCGGGTCATGGACCTCGATTAGCCTCTTTGCCTTTCTGAGACCTGCCGGGTAGTCGAGGAGCAACGTTGGCGATCTCAACCCGAAATCTTCCTTGGCATCTTCTTCTCATGCGTTTATTCGTTAAAAAAAATCCATCGAATCACTGACCGTTATCTCAAATTAATTACCGGGATAATTGCTCGTTATCATTTCGCGCTCTCAACGCGCCACTCGAACACACCATTTGCAAGTTACAATTCGCGAAATGCCTGCATTACCCAATCCGCGGCTCGTGGACCAATTTGTACAATCAACGATTTTTTTTTTATTATTCTAGACTAATAATTTATTGATTGAATTTCGAACGAACTCGAATCACAGACGCCGAACGTCGCTCGCACTGTCCTGCAACACAAAAGAGACGATCGTAATTAATTAATGCTAATGTGAGTAAAATTGTATCTTATTATATAAATCTCAAGTTCTTTCTGTTCTTAAGTTTCTCAAATTTTCAATGCGATATTATACATTTATTCAGTTATTCGCTTATTCACACATTTGCGCTAATTTCGCGCAGTGTTTGAATTTACAAATTTCGGGGGGTAATTATCTGAAGTAAAGAATTGATACGCGCGTCAATACACTACGATCACTTATACCTCTGTACTTGTATTATTGTTTGTAGAGAATAAGAGAAATTAATATATAAGGTTATTAATAATATCACAGAGATTATGATAATTACATGGTAATAAACTAAATTACTAAATCAGCTCGTTAATAAATTACTAAATCAGCTGAGAATATTGTGCACGATTGAATGGGTCATTAATTCTCTTTGTTAATAATTAGCAAATCGAATCACCAAATTAGTTTGCGATTCAAAATCAAAGCACGATCGCGTGCAACGCGGAAGCGTCTCTTATTGTTTTCTGAAGATTCATTTTGAGGATCTCGCGTCGGATAAACACAACGGAAAACACCGAAATGTAGACGAACGTACCGTGGAAACGTCGAGAAAATGCGAGTGCTTTCGCGAAAATTGATGAAACAATAGCTAAAAGTAACGCTGATTTTTAACAACTTGTTTATGCATTTTCGCTTGGCAGCGTGTACTACAAACTCACTCCCTCGCTTGCTTGCTTTCTTTCAATTTAACACGTTCCACACCTCGTACAGCCTCGGTTATATTCTAGCTTGTTTAACTCATTTTATTTGCAAATTGAACTTTAATTCGCCCTAACTAATTCATCGCGTCTTAAAGCAACTTTATATTATCTATTCTCCTTATTTACTCGTCCAACACTCTCTCGCTTTCCTTCATTTCTCTTGCACGCGGGCCCTCTATCCTTTTCACTAACATCTCATCTTTATAATTCATTTTTGCGCGCTTTAGCTTTCTTCTTTCTCTCTCCGTGTGCACTGTAACGTACACTAGGATTAAAAGAGTCAAAACCGACGTTTCATTAGCCGAGAAAGAATGAGAGAAAGGGTTGGAAGAAGAAGGAGGAAAAAATTCAGAAGAATCCAGGTCGAATGTTTCAAGTATATTAAGTTGATGCGAGCAAAGCCTAGACGGGAAAATGAAGACAGAGTTTAAATAATATGAAGATGGAAAGAGAGCCTGCGAATTCTCGATGACGCGACTTTTCAATCCAGAATTTCGAACCAACCTGCAAATCCGAAATTCTCTCCCCCTTGAACCTTATACGCCCCATTGTCTTGTGTGAAGCCGATGTAATACAACACTCGCTATAATGTCGCGCGGACGCCTGGGTGGAATCCGCGTCGGTTGTGAGAAGAAAGACGAGACTGGAATTCGATTATACGGAAGGACCATTCTCGGTAGGGCGAGCCCTTCCCGCGAGGTGATAGCCGGGCTATTTTAGCGATAGCGGAATACCATCGTCGCCCTGGACAGTGCGCCGCGAACAATTATTACGACTTGGCAAACTCAAGCAGTCTCTGCCCCGGCCCGCAGATACAACTTGGCAACTTCCGGGACACACATAAACGCCACTCTCTCTCCTTCCCTCTCTTTCTCCCTCCCTCCTTCCGGCATAAGTCGGGGTATAGAAGCAACGCGCCGTTCCACGAATTCGTTTAACATCCGAGCTCACTATATTCAAAGGACAACGGATAATTAGTACACTATGCCGTGTCGCGTGTAAATGGCACGTTTGCTGGTTAATTCGTGCACGCGCGCGTCCATAAGGACACAACGATTCCAATCGCAAAGCTACGGTGAGATCCTTGCGCACTCTGAATTTCTCTGGGTTTAATGCCGTCGTTCGCGAAAATTGCGCGAACTGTGTTAATTTAACTCTCGGATAAATGCGGCGAAACCACGAGACGGGCGAGCACGCAAACGTAAACGAAGGAGGGGAAACTTCGGAGTCCGCGGTTTGCGGACAGACAGACAATTCGGCGATCGAGAAGAGGGTCTCCCGTCGACGGTCCCGATCTGGCAGAATCGGTCGACGCGTGCGAGAGTCCTGTGGGGTGCGCGGCGAATCGAGATTCCAAGCGCCACTCGCTGATTTCTGTCCCAAAAATGTGAGTCATCCTTACGCGTCGTTCCTTGCATCGCCGCTCCCATTTCATATTTATTTAACGCGATTCCGTTTCTTGCGATTCCGTTTACGAGCCCAACAACTGGTAGCCGCTCGGTCTGGCTGTTGGCGTAGCAGATGTATCGCGCGTTTCATCCGCAAGGGAGGATGCGTTACGGCAGGATGACAGGTATAGAAAGACGCAGCAGTGCGAGCGAGTGAGCTACCTAGCTAGCTAACGAGCGAGCGAGCGAGCGAGCATCGGAAAGCTATTCACGACGTGGCTCTTTCTTACGGGATTGACGGGAAGAAAAGGGACTGTGTATCTCGCGGAACCACGCAACGGAAGAACTCCATTTCCGCCATATTTCTCACACAATGCCGCGGAATTGACTAGCCAGAAAATGCGGCGTTTCGCGGCTGATGTTGGGTGGCGAGGGTCGGGCTTGAGGGGAGGCGAAGAGGACCCAGGAGACCATCACCAGCGCACCACCATCGTGAGCACAAGTTCCACCCTCCGCAGCCGATCGACCGATCGAATCGATCGCCAATACGCCCCAATACGAGTGTATATACAAATGCGCCGCCTTGTAGCTGCCTTCCGGCGATTTAACGAAATTCCGACCATATTTCACCGGACGCTGTTCCCCGGAAAATGCACGAGTGGCGGCCATTCTAACGTTCTCGCGTAATTCTCCGATTCACGCTGACAAATATTAAACACGCGAGCGGCTCGATTCACAGCTCTCGCTTTTGCACGACGCCTCGGTTTCATATATTTTCGGTATAATAGCTTAAAAACCTTCAAATCCAGGCATTTTTTTGAACACTGTAGATTGCTACGGTCACGAGAAATGTCTGCACAGAAAAAAAGATTTGATTGAATTAACCAAATATCTGATCGAATATGAACGATCCAAAAATTTCGATTGAAGTAACCCGAAAAATCTTGCTAACTTAAATAGAATTCGAGTTACTTCAGTCGGAATTTCTGGATCGTTCATATTCGACCAGATATTTGGTTAATTTAAACAAACCTTTTTTTCCGTGTGAAATATGAAGTTGAGAAGATTCTCTAGTGTAAAATGGACTGCAAAAGGAAATTGGAAATTTATCAAATTGTCAAAATTGAGAGTCATTATTGTGATAAACTCTCTTTCTCTCTTCCTTAGTAATTATATTATTAATTATTTTAATTAATTATTATTATATTTGTTGCTTTATTATTAATATTATCTTTGGTATTGTTATTAATTTTATTATATTGCCTAATGAGTCCGTTGGTAATGACTCTCAATTTTGACAGTTTGATTGGTTTCCATTGTGTCAAAACCGTTTCACAATCTATCGTACTCTTGTTTGCTAAACGTTTGCATACTTTTTATTGGATGAAATTGCAGGTTGCCAAATTGAAAGCCGCTGTTGGCATATATGAAGTGTGCGAAGTAATCGGTTGCAAATATGTAAAAATTATTCCTTAAAATACTGTTCTCCCAGTTTAAAACAAATTTCTTTATCCAAATTTGATTAATGTCGCACTCTGTGTACTGCGGTTTCGGCTCCTTTCACAACCTGATTAATGCGTGTATACACACGAACAGTTCTGACATCTTGAAGCGTTGCAACTTCATTCAGATAAAAAGTGCAGAAACCACTTTGCAATCTAGTGTACGCGTTTTTGATAACCCCAGAATTTTTAGTCAGACTAACAAAAGTTTCAGTTTGACCAAGATTTTCAAATTGTCGTCGCTGAAGATCGCCCAAAAGCGGGACGTAAGCGTTCCACTTTACACATAGATTTAGACACTTGTTTCGATTAACATAAAAAAGCTCATGCAACTCCGACCGCGTTGGTTCACCTCGCTTCCCAAATGCTCCTGCATCAGGATATTTCTGAATCAGGAGCAACGAGATTAAACGTCGGCCATATCGGAACACGAAATGACCTCGTAGTACAGACATTCAAGCGGATTCTCAGGACAAGCAGTTTCATTTTCAGAAAGATGCGGACGCGGCACGCTAATTTCCGCATGAAACATTCGTGGGAATTCTGGGCGGTGGCCAAAGCGTGCGTATAAATAATGCCGGCTAAATGGAAAATTCCCCGCGGGAGCGAAATTCCGCGTCTCTCTCTCTCTCCTTTCGCGGAACTGAACCAAATCCCCGGCAAAAGATTTTTCGAAAATGCAACGCAGCTGCGGCTGCACCAAGCGAATTCTCTTCATAACCCTCTCACCTCTTTGCCATGCTTCGCGCACTCACCCCCTTATCTTTCTTCTGGCCCGCTTTCGAGTTTCCTCGGTACACTGAACGAAGACAAATAACTCGTGGGTTGTTTGTTGCGCCGCGGTCGTTTCTCCCGGAAACGGAAGAAACGTCGGAAGACCACCTGGGGGATCCGAGTGACCCGAGGTAGAGTTGGATAGAGGCTTGGCATTATAGAGTTATAGGCCACGCTGCTGCGAGAAATAGCAGCGGACACTACAAGGAGTTGAGGCGCGTAGATGTGGCGTCACGGTAGAGAATAGTCGTAGAAATTGCACGAGTTGGAAATTTATTAGTGAAAAAAGCGTCTTATCTTATTGTAGCCGCTTTTCCGCGATGTCTATTTCAATCCCGATATGTGCCGTAGTTTATCTGGATGTTTTCAAGCATCTGTCACCGCAGAGGAATTTTGACGGTTCAATGTCAAAATGAGATTAAATACTATAAAATAACGCGTAATATTATTATCATGCTATGAAGAATTTGAAATTTGTGAGTATAGGTGACGTAACGGTATCTGAAGCGTGTCTGAGACTGGAGGTCATGTGATCTCGGGAACGATAACACGCGTATATAAGAAGCTGCCAA